TCATATTAGCCGACCTGATAACCTCAAATCTCACAAGCTTTCTCCTGTCTATATATTTCCATGGTAACTTGAATATTTTCGCTGGAAATCTTCCACAAGTATTCTCAAGCGCCAAGATGTATCACGAGAAATACAGCGACATCGTGGGGTCTCAACGCTAGAGCAGAGCTACTTTGCAGGCCCCGAGCAAACATTTCTTGTCAGTCAGTGAACTTGCCGTCCAATTAAGTTTTTAACAATGCGTAACAAAATGCCGCAGGGCGAGTTCAGCTTGAGCAACCAACCACGGGGCAGAATGCAACGGACTCTGTTGACAATTTCGCGAAGCTTTTTAGAAGACGCGAGAAACAAATGACTGTTCATAACTTAAAAAAAAAAAAATTATGGCGACGCCGCAAATTTAACCGAAATTATCCTCCCTATAAGCTCTATAAGTTAAAAGAAATGAAGAGTTTTAAAACAGAATGATATATAATGTAAACTATTATCCCGTTCTCAAAGGAAAATTATTTATGAGCATAATTGTTCATATAAATGTGCTTTCAAATTTTGTTTGTTGAAAGATTATGTGTTTATAGTTATCATATTAATGTCTGAGCTGTCTCAGGGTCGTGTCGATTAAAATGCTTCACTATTTGTGTTCTGTAGCTTCGGATTTTATTTCCAGGCCATTGTTAATCAGTCAAATAAAAATCACATCCGCGTTCTCAGACCTATGAACTCTACAATGGGGTGGGAAATCCCCTGCAACTTGTCAAGCCATTAACCTGTCGACGTGTAACCAAAGAATGACAGGACCTTACAAGGACACAAAATGATTTGATTATCACACAGTGTGGGGAAATTTGATTGCATAAAACATACGGCCAGGACAGGCCTTCTACCTTAATTAGTAGCCGTAACAACTGCATGAGCGAGCAGATTTCGTTAAAGTGGGTAGCATGGCGGTAAGCGTTCTTTTAAAACGTTTCATAACATAAATCTACAATTTATACATTCTCTTTTCGTAAGGTGATACTAAAACGTCTGCATGTGTAAAGAAAAAAAAAGTTTCTTCACCTGGACGTTTCGGGAGTAATTCTTGTGTGCATTTTGTCTTTAAAATGTTGACAGAAATGCGGCAGAAACGCTTTTTATCTTGTATTTTTCTCTGCTCATATGGAATTGGTAGGAACGTGACCATATGTAAGAGGATTTCACAAATTGCCCATTTCTGTAACAACAAAATTCTCTCAGCTTCCCATACATGCCACCAGATGTCTACAGAAATAGAGAATTTTTGGTGAGATTTCAGGTTCGCACGGCGGCAAGTATGAAGAGGTCTCCTAGGTTATTGAGCCGTGTACTCTGATAGAATTTTTCGTGATCCTAAACGTCAATAAACTCCTACCAGACTACAAGGGGGCTACATTCCACGCGCTCTCATGTGTCCACTGGATCTGTTAAGATTTGGTGCTGGCTGAGTGGAAAGTATCTGAAGGCCATCTCACATCTTAAAAAATGCTTTGTCATCATAACCTCTCAAGAATATTTACGAGTCACTGAACCATCCTTACATCAATATCGAACACTAAAGGCCGTACCTGAGAGCAAACAGAAAATAATCCCTTCACATCCCAACCTAAGACAATATTATTTTCGTAGCATTCAAACAACTGGGCGGGGGGTAATTAACAAAATTATTTTAGGTTTCTATGCTAATCCTACCTGCAATTTCTATGCGTTACACGAAACTTTTTCAAACTGAGTCTGACTGGGGCTTTGAATTAATTGAAGACTCAATTAAATCAAGGATGAGATAGGCTGGACGTGTAGCATACACGAGAAAAACTACAAATGCACTTAAAAACCATGTTTTTGCCCGAATCATTAAATTTTGCAAGAGGCATTTTATAACACAAAATACATTGGGCTTGCTGTCTCTGTCATCGGGGCGACAACGGAGGCAGCAGGACCTCTGAAACGTCGATAAACTTCTACCAGACACCTTCAGATTCACCGCCGTGAAGACCTCAAATCCTACATTGGCGTAGACGTGATATTTAAACACGTTTTAACAAATAACGCAAAAATCCAAGAAAACAAGTCACAATGTACGGCTTCAGGGGTAAATTGGAATTAAAATACCAAATTTAATTTTCCTTGCCGCAAATATTTCCTTTGCGACGGGGGATCGTACACAATGACGCGATACTTTCTTCTTGGATCAAAATATCTGCGTTCTCATTTCGTACCATTAAACGATTTCAAAATAAAGAAGTTCTTATCTGTAAGGAAGGTAACGGACTGTAACAAATCTTATTGTCATTTAAAATGAACTGAACCGAGGCGCATCTTAACTGATGTTACGTCCTCGACCCATAATGCGACTCTGCACTCTTACAGACGTCAAATAACACCATTAATTTATTATGTTATTGCCTGTTCGACGTTCAGTCAAAATGAAATAAGATTTACATGTCATTAGCTCGAGAACTAGAATTGAGTCACATTACGTCGATAAAATAAATTTAAATTTACCACAGAACACTCAAATATACGGGGGCGTTTCTAAAATCAACAGCAAATTGACAATATTTCACGAAACGAATACCCCAGGCATTTCAAACTCCCGCGCAGGGAAGATACGGTCTTAGAGAAGGTTCTGACACTGCTCAATAGATGGCGTGGCGTGCTTAATTGGAAGGGATGCATATGCAAAATGGCGGCGCTCTCAGCTGTTTTTATCGTATAGAAGCAGCGAGCAATTATCAGATTTTTGTGGTCGGAGGGATTGAAACCTCGTGAAATTCATAGAAGAACGCTGCAACAGTATGGAGATGCCTGCATTGG